TTTTTTTTTTTTTTTTTTGTTTCTTGAATTTTTCTTAATAGTTTAATTACACGGCGCAAGGATGAAAGGGGCAGTGCTGGTAGCCATTGCTGCCACGATTGGTAACTTGTTGCAGGGTTGGGATAATGCAACTATTGGAGGTCTTTTGTTCTTCTGCTCTCTCTCTCTCTCTCGTTTTGTTTCTAAAATGTTTTAGATTTTCTTATTCTGTAAAATGGAGATTATTTTCTACTTTCCAAAGCGATTCAGTGCTGAAATTAGTAAATATAAGAGTATGATAGGATGTTGAATACTTTCATGATGCGAATTAAATTCGTTTTAGCCACTTATCGAATCGGGAACACGGAAGATCATTTAAATCCACTTTGATTCTAGAACCGAGCTTTGGGTTCTATAATCCGCAATTGAGTTTATCTTTTCTAGAATCAAAATGATATGAATCTTTTTTCCACGAAAAAAGGAGCAATTTTTCACCTTCTTACCCTTCAAAAGTTCGAATGGCCTAAATCTATAGGTTTCAACAATGGATACATGAGTTTATTTCACGATTTTTCCCCTTTTGGCTGCAGGAGCTGTTGTTTACATCAAGAAGGAGCTCGAGCTGGGTGCTGCCGTGGAGGGCCTAATAGTGGCCATGTCCCTAATTGGTGCAACCCTCATCACAACCTGCTCGGGTACCATATCCGACATGATCGGCCGGCGCCCAATGCTTATCATCTCCTCCGTATTCTACATTGTGAGCGGTATAATAATGCTTTGGTCCCCTAACGTATACATCCTGCTCGGGGCCAGACTTCTGGATGGGTTTGCTGTGGGGCTGGCCGCCACACTTGCTCCCGTCTATGTTTCCGAAACTGCCCCTCCTGAGATAAGGGGCCAGCTGAACACACTCCCTCAGTTCTTCAGCTCAGGGGGGACTTTCCTGGCCTACTCGATGATTTTCGGAATGTCGTTCTTGCCTGCACCAAGCTGGCGGTTTATTCTGGGAATTATTTTCGTGCCCTCTTTGGCGTATTTCGGGTTGACGGTGTTTTATCTACCGGAGTCGCCTAGGTGGCTGGTGAGCAAGGGGAAGATGCTCGAGGCAAGGCGTGTTTTGCAGCAGTTGCGTGGCAGGGAGGATGTCTCTGGTAAATTCATCTGTGTATAATATTGTCTACTTTCTTCTTTTCTGCTGATTTTTTCACCTTTTTCTTTTTATTTATTTATTTATTTATTTATTTGTATGATTTGATAGAACTAATTAGTTTGCCAATGGAAAGTTAGTTGGACGTTGTGCATGAACAGAAGTTGCTTCTGTTGACTGTGACATGATTCATTTGGTTTTGGTTGTCTTCTGTTTAATTTGTGTGATCTTAGATTGACGGCATGTTCTGTGGTATGAAATCTAGTCTTCTAAGGAACTGTTTTACTCTTCTTTTGAATATACGAGGATATAGTCCCACGTAATATTGTATAATTTTCCTTCCTTTTTACTACTCGCCTTTTTATCTTTTTATTTAATGTTTCTATAATAAGATTGGGAGCTTATCAAGATCACATTTATGATTTCCCAAGTAAGTTCTTTTTTGTTGGTCATCTGATGAGTAGTTGCAGCTATAAATTCATATTGAGTAACTTTACCAAGAAAAGATGAGATACATTTATACCAGTCCCCCTTTTTTTTTTTCTTTTTTTTTTTGTGTGTGTATAGCTTATTTGCACTGGTCTGCTACCGATTCATGTTCGGTTGTCTATTATGTTTCTGTCTAGATTGTTTCATGTTGGAGTGATATAGATGATTCAATGTTCCATTTTCTCATTTTTTTCCTATCCTTCCACAGTCCTTATTGATAACTGTTGAAGCCAATTCTAACATATTAACTTCAAAGCTCAACTAAAGAACGTGTGATGCTAGTGATCCGAGTCTTCCAAACTAAACCATTCCTCAAAATTATCTACGCATGGTCCAATTTTTTGTTAAATTCATGATTCTTTTATCTGGTGCAGGTGAGATGGCACTTCTAGTGGAGGGCCTGGCGGTCGGGGGTGAAACCTCGATAGAAGAGTACATCATCGGGCCGGCCCACGAGGTCGGGGAAAAGGATCCATCCCCCGACGCGGACCACATCAAGCTGTACGGGCCTGAGGAGGGAATCTCATGGATCGCAAGGCCCGTCTCTGGCCACAGCCGCCACAACAGTCTGCTTTCCCGCCAGGCAAGCACGACGGGCCCGAACGTGCCCCTCATGGACCCGCTCGTGACCCTCTTCACGAGTGTACACGAGAAGCTTCCTGATGCCGGTGGGAGCACCTACAGCACGCTGTTCCCCAATTTCGGCAGCATGTTCAGCACCACGGCCCCGGAGCCCAGAAACGAGCAGGAGTGGGATGAGGAGAGCCTCCGGCCGAGGGGGGAGGATGACGACGACGAGGCTGCCGGCGGCGGCACGGATTCCGACTCCGGCGGCACGGACTCCGATGAGAACCTGCAGACTCCACTGATTTCGCGCCAAGCGACAAGCGTGGACAAGGATGGGGCCGGGCCAGATGGGGCCGGGCCAGGTGGGCCCGGGCCAGGGGAGAGCACGGGGATCGGGGGTGGCTGGCAGCTGGCGTGGCAGTGGTCGGGGAAGGGGAAGGGCACGGAAGGTGGGTTCAGGAGGATCTACCTGCACCAGGAGGGGGGGCTCGGGTCGAGGCGGGCTTCTCTCATATCGGTCTCCGGTGGCGGAAATGTTGGCGGCGGCAGTGGGGATGGAGAGTTTGTGCAGGCTGCGGCGTTGGTGAGCCAGCCGGCGCTCGTCCCCAAGGAGATCATGGACCAGCGGCCCGTGGGGCCCGCGGTGGTGCACCCGTCGCAGAATGCCTCGCGAGGGCCGAGCTTGGCAGCGCTGCTCGAGCCTGGGGTCAAAAGGGCTTTAGTGGTGGGGATCGGGATTCAGATGCTACAGCAGGTACTTTTATTTATTTATAAATCTGTGTCTGTGGGTTGGTACAGTATTGAGATCGTTGGGTGCAAGTCTAATTGTACAGTTTCCCCTTTTTTCTGAATCCTTTTCATTGATGTTCACCCAGTTAGCATTGTAACGACTTTTAAGGCTGGGAAAGTTCTAAAAAAGATGTACATGTCTTCTCGCTTATTGTCAAGATAAAGTAGGCTGACTTGTAATTTATCTGGTGAGAGGTTTTGTTTGAACCGTTGCTGATATATCTGTGTTTGTTCAGCTTTCGGGTATCAGTGGAGTTTTATTCTACACTCCTCAAATTCTTCAGCAGGCGGGTGTAGGTGTTCTTCTTACAAAGCTTGGCCTTGGGACAGATTCAGCAACTTTTCTCCTTAGTGCCTTCGCAAATTTTTTGATGCTTCCCAGTATAGCTGTGGCAATGAGATTCATGGATGTAGCCGGTAGAAGGTAACTATAATTCTCTTTTTTCTTCTCCCTCCTTTCCTTGAACTTTTTCGAATCAACTTTAAATAATAATAATAATAATAATAATAATAATAATAATAATAATAATAATAATAATAATAATAATAATAATAATAGTTGAGGCTCGTTTGGGTACAAGTATTTGAAGAAAGGAAAGGTGGAAAAAGGAAAAAAATAAAATTGACATTTCGAGTTGTTTTGTTGGAAACTTTGTAGAGCCTAACTTTATGTACCCACATATGGGTGTAAGATAGATGACGCATAAGAAGGAATAGGATTAAATCTGTAAAGACTTGGAGAGTGTTCATCCAAGAAGTTCAAGTGCCTCGTTTGTGTTAATAGTACAACTAGAACCATAATCAGGAATCAAAAGCACCTCTACTTTACTTTTCAAGTCTCGACGGCAACATTTGTGATCAATTAAACTCCGATTTTTCCTTAACTAAGGCTGTGGCCTGAGAATCACTTGCTATTATTGGTCAAATACATGTTGCAAGAAGAAGGAACACCTTAAATATCTTTTATGATAAGCTTAACATTTATATCTCCACTACAATGGCTATATCCATAGCTGTCTAGCGTTATTTCCCATTTTGTGAATGTTAACTTTGCCCTGAAATGACATCTAATCTAAATATGGAAAAGATAAAAAAATAAATTTGAGGCAACTTAACGATGTTATCTTTTGTTCATCTTTATCCCTTGCCCACGAAGATACTGGAATTACTATGTCCATGGAGGTCAATCCAAGTAGGATTGGATTCTTACAATACCACGCTTTGACCTTTAGGACGATTACGAACATGTCTAGTTTATTCTTAAACTCACAAATATCCCAATTATGTATCTTTGTGTTGTGTGTGTGGGTGCGTTTCTTTTCATCATGTACTATTAGTCTAAATCTCAAAAGTTAATCATAAATGCTGATATGAGATTGCCTAACTGTCGTACCATTTTAGCAAAAAAATGTATATGTATATCGTGAAATATCACACTTGTTTACATTGCTTATTAAATTATGACACCTTATTGTGAACGACATGTAAGTATGCTCCTTTTTCGAAAAACTATGTCTGCCTAACGGGACAACAATCATATCAATAATCAAATCGGTCTTCTCTCTGTTAAAATCTAACTCAACTTTTTTCTTGTGTCGAACATCTTAATTAACACAGGTCGTTGTTGCTCACGACAATCCCAGTCCTGGTAGTGTCCCTCATCTTCCTCCTGATTGTGAATGTATTCGACTTTGGCACCCTGGCCCATGCTGTGATCTCGACCGTGAGCGTGGTCACCTATTTCTGCTTCTTTGTAATGGGCTATGGGCCCATCCCCAACATACTATGCTCTGAGATTTTCCCAACCCGAGTTCGAGGCATTTGCATTGCCATTTGTGCCCTCGTCTTTTGGATTTGTGACTTCATAGTCACCTACTCCATGCCCGTCCTACTCGCCTCTGTGGGCCTAGTTGGCGTGGCCGGGATTTTTGCGTCAGTGTGCTTCATCTCGTTCGTTTTCGTGTTCTTGAGGGTCCCAGAGACCAAGGGCATGCCGTTGGAAGTCATAACCGAGTTCTTTGCCGTTGGGGGCCAAACAAGGCGCTAGGCACTTGATTTTGTGTGGTTGATTGTTTCTATATATTTATTTGCTTGGGAATTTCTTTTATTAGGTTCAGTGGTACGAATGTTACTCGAGCCGGGCATGGATGTGTGCCTGGAGGGTTCGGGCTACCTGTGGTTCGACCTGTTTGGGTTGTTCGAAGGATTTCTTTATATATGTATAGTAAAAGGAAAATGATATTTATGTTTGGGAATACATGTTTTTGTATATCGGAGAGTTCCGTCTACTCGATCGCTATCTGATTCGCTTGTGACATAAATCCATGTATCTATATAACAGAGATACTTTTTACCAGAAATGGGCATTGAGCTATAGCCAATTTAGTGAAGGATTTAACATTAAAGTTCTGCATGATACTAAGTGCAGGACACAACAAAACCGTGGATTGTGTTTAAAACAGTCAGCAGAGGCAACGTCTTAGAAATGTCCATCAGTCGAAAGTACGTTCACTCGTGTAAGTTTCTTCTCCACTGCTCCCAGACTGTCAAGTTCTATTTTCCCAGAAAAAAAAATAAAAAAAAAATGAAAAGTCGAGCAGGAGACTAGAAGCATGTGTCTATTAAGAACGAACAGATCGTAAAATATATTCCAAACATTCCTCCAGTGCGTTCTACTACTTACACACTGGTTATGAACAAAACAACAAATTCCAGTGGGCAGATGAGGCTCTGTGGAATAGAACAACACAATTCTATTTACATTGAAGCAAAGTTTACTTCGTTAAAGTTGGAACTCCTCAAAAGTTTCGATTCCTTAGTTTGCCCAGACTCGTTGTAAGAAAAAATATAAGGCACTAATCACAGTTGGCAACCAAAATTTCAGATTGTGTGGCTCAGCCCAACATAGCACGCTGGCCTCTTAACATTTGCAGTGCAACTCAAAAGTCAGTGCATCTCCTCAGATGGCGGCAGATTACTCCCTAATGGATTATTGTTTTGATCGGATGAAGAAGGATTATTAGAGCCCCCTTTCGAACTAGTGGAGTTTTGCTCCTCTGACTTCAAATGTGGCTTCAGCGGCCTCTCCAAGTCTCTGGCTGCTGCAGGATCTATGACTAATTTTCCGAGCTTTTGATCCTATTAAAGAAAAAAAAAAAGTTCAAAATGCAGATCATATTGATGATCAAATATGGCAATATGCACAAACGGTAGAAGGATAATCTACCATGCAAATAATTCTTCAGGTTCGTAATAAAAACTACCACTGAATTTAACCCAAAAATTTCGTCAACAAGATAATTGCCCAATATACCGGCAAGATACACTGCAGATACACTTTCTTATATCCAGAAGATTAGAGGAAAATGAAAAACGCGAAAAGGATAGCAATATCAGCTATACAAATAAAAGCTTTTAAGTATAATGGGTTGTTTTGAGGCATTTCAAATTTTCTAGGGTCAAACATTGAAAGACACAATGTCCCAAAAGATTAGTAGGTCTCACTCACAGTTCAGGATGCTAATCTATCTATCCATTCGCACAAATATAGGAGCAAGCAAAAGGTAAACCTATATAGGTTCAAGTTTTCAGAGATCACTGTTTCGTGAGGCCAACTTACATTTTGCAAAGCTTCAAGCTTCCTCTGCAGTGCCTCGTGCTCTGCCTTGATACGGAAAGGAACACCGTGCTTCTGGTACACGTTGCTCTGAGCCAAACCCTCGTCAATATCACTGGAAGTCGTTGCAAAAGGGTGATTTGCGGGGATCCACCTGACAGTATCGGGGTCTACATCGGGAGGCACAGACTCCCCTTCTTTTAGAAATACCGTTGGCCTCTTCCACTGATACGCACGGGATCTTCGTCTCTGATGTACGGTCTGTATCTCGTCTGTTAGGGTCACGGGAGCCAGACGGTACACTTTGCCACACATCTCGACCGTTGAATTGCTTTTGCTGACTTTGACCATGGGATTGTTGAATGGATCTTCATACTTGAGAGGTGTCGAGCTGTGAAAAAGAAATGACATTAAAGGATTAAATGTATCCTGGATTTCAGCAATAAAGGGTGCCAAAAACAAGAGCCTTTAACAATTACATATTTAAATCAGAAGGGGAGAAAATTTTTGATGGATTCAGTAAAGCATTTGTGCTTAAATAACATTCATTCATATGAAAAACGAAAAAGGGAAAAGAAAAAAAATGGGAATAAATACTATAGCTCACTGAGTGAAATAGAATCATACATGCCTCTTCTATCTGATCTAATCTGCCCTCGGCGAACAAGATCAGCTACGGTACCCGAGCGGTTGTCACTTGTCTTCCTTCTTAAAAAACCTTTCACCACAACAGCTAAAATGGTGGCCACGATGCATAATCCAACGGACAAGTTCGTACCAGAAAGTCTTCCAGTCTGCCAAAAGAGAAAAAGTGGAGCACAGTAAATTTCCAGTGAGAGGGGTTGTCTAGTTGTTCCATGCATTTTGCAATGCAAATGGTGAATCGGAAGTCAGGCATAAGCTATGGAAAATTTGTTTTAGTCTGAGGGACAAAACTATAATATTATTCAAGAATTTTAATCACATAGAGCAGCCAATTTATTTCCCCAATCGCACGCCCCGCATCCCCCAAAAGTAAAAAGAACATAAAAAGGGCTACTGTTCTATCAAGCAAACCATCTGGTTTCACACAATCTTGAATACAAAAAATCTCGTCTAATCTTGAAGAGGAAAAAAAAAAAACTCTTATGGGCCAACGAAATATAAACACAGCAAAAAGATACAC